GGCATGACTTCGAATATTCGAGATCAAAAGTGATAAAGCAATTTAGTCATTTCAGATATTGAATATCCAAAGTGGTGGCAAAATGGGAGTAAAAAAGAAAAAAAATGAGAGATGCACATGAAATGTTAGAATTATGAATATATTTTTGAAGGATGTGGTTTCTATAACTCCTAGGTTTTATAAAAAACTAATGCTTCACCTCAAAACTTCATTCGAAAAGTTCTCTGGGGCATGGGAAACCCCTATTATGGCTCTAAAATCTGTTTCCAACAATGGGTATGAAATTTATAGCTAAGAAAAGGGTACAAGTCTTGTAAATTTATGAATACTTGAAAATTGGCGCTCTAGATAGCATGTTACAATATACATCATTCCTAGGGCTTGAAACCCTTATTTTTTGTCATATCCATAGTGATAAGACAAGACAATGAATTCAAAAGGTTTTTGAACTTGGAAACTACAATTTTTTTTGTAAGATTTGAGTCGCAACTTTACTTTTTTTCATAAGGTAAGCCTTATCTTGACCTTTTTCAGGGGTGGCAATGGACACTGACTCGACTCGAGACCCAAGGGGTAGACCTGATCTGCATTTGGGTATGAGTTAAAAAAATTGGATCCAGGGGCTGGGTTCTTCAACCCGAACACTATTCGTGTCCAGATCTGAGTCTGATAATAATTTTTAGGTTCCAATATATGAAATTTTTTTAAATAAAAGTAATATTTTTATCTTTGGGTCGGATATAGTTTGGTCCGAGTCCGAGTCTGAGGCCAGTCGGGTGCGGGTACCATACCATTTTTTTTGGGTCCGGGCCACCCCTAACCTCTTTCCATAACAAAAATTATAGAAGACATAAGTGTAATTTTTTTTTAATACGTCCAAAAAAGATATTTCACTTTAAATCCCCATAACCTTAAGACCTTTTATGCCAAGTATTTCTTATAGAAGAGAAGAGGTTCAAGCCTCGAAACATATAGAAATCTCTACAGTTCACAGTAATGAAACCAATTTACCGCGTTTTTAGTTATATCGGCAGGAGCGAACGGCTCAGATCATAACATGCATGTCCAAAAGAAAATCTTGACCGTTGATTACTAGATTGCTACCAGAGCTGAGCTCGAAGTTCTCATACAAACGAGCAAAACCGAGCTCGATAGAGAGAGAGAGAGAGAGCAACGCACTGCAATTTTGTAGTGAGAGAATAGGAACTCAGAAGCAATTGCACTGTGATAGGATGAGAAGAACCCTAGTAGCACTTGCAGAGAGAGAAACGAAGACCGTAACACCGATTTCCCTTATTAATGGAGGAATTCATTTGAAACATGTCATTTACATGTTCGAAGTCCAGCATTTTTCCTGCTATTTTAATGTTAAATTTTAATCAAGTTTTATATTTTTGAAGAATTCTGGCAGTTTAATGCCCAGGTTTGCTTCTCACCCATCAGAGTTATCAAAATATCTGCTTTCTCTGTATAGCATACTTATTTAAGTTTCTCTCTATACTCATTAATTTGTGCATTTTTATGTTTGATTTTAATTCCGCAAACCTTGAACAATCCATTTATTCATTTCCTTTCTTGAATTTTGTGGAATTCATGGTGTTTGTATATGTTTTGTGCAGAAAACTATGGGTAGAAGGAAACAGAAACACCCAAATCGATCAGGAGGGATTTCAAGAGCTCCTGAAGAAAACGCAGAAACTTCCGGTAATGATGCATTGAATGATTCAAGTAACAGAGAAGAAACAGGTGATCATATTGAGAATTTGCAGTTCAATCATGCCAAAGAGGTTTTTGTAGAAATTAATCAGAATAATTCAAACTCAGATGAGCAATTTGACGTAGCGGAAGTGTTTTTAGGAAACATTAGATTTTCAAATGGGTTTCATGATCATAATTTAATAGAGGAGATTTATGAGAAGCTTGATTATTCTCTTCAATTGAGGTTTTGCGTTGGAGTGGATGATCACATAAGAATAGGGCATTGGCCTGTAATTTCAGCGGACAATATTTTTCTTGAATTTGTTTGTTACAAGAATCCCTCAGATGAGGATTCAAATGACCGGGCACAAAATGTTGTTTTTTGGGGAAATTTCGATGGCCCAGCTGAAGGTGTTTCTGGTCTTGTTCATTTAGTTAACGAGAGGTCTATCACATTGAAGCCTGTTATAGAATCTAGGGCGTTTGGAACTGAGTTTTCACCAAGGTTTCGGGTAGTGATTCTCAAGAAAGCTTTTGAAGCTAGTGGGGTGCTTTCTGATACTTCAAGGAAACCATGGAAGAAGAGTATGGTGAATATGATGGCTTGGCTAAGGCCTGAAGTTACAACTGACGAGGCTAAGTACAGGGTTTCTAAATTAGAGGCAGCGGATGAAAGTTTTCAGATAGATGAAAGGTCTCATTTGGGTCCTCAAAGACGAAGAAGGTTCAGTGCTGCGGCCTTTTATGAAGCAATAAAGCCATCCAAGTGAGTTTCCACGCATGCTACTATTTATTTTATTTTTTTAAACATTTATTAGCTTGGATTTTATTTATTTTTGTTGACATGTTATCTGCTTAGGTTTTTGTGTGCAGCATGATTTATTCAAGGAAAAAGTTTATGAGTTTACAATCTCATCTGTAGAAAAAAGGCACGTCTAAAAAATACATCGAAAAAAGTTATTCCGATGTTGAGAAACCTTCTAATTGATCATTTCGACCGCGCGAGATGTCTGGACGTGGGAAAAAAAAAAGATTTTTAAGGTTCCAAAAAATGGTACATCCTATAATACATTATCTAGGCAGTCCATTCTCCAGATATTCATGTGTTTTTCTAGATCTACTGTACTATTTTTTGAGTTTTAAATTTAATAATTAGATGTGAAGTAGTTTTTCAGGTAATCATTGAAATTATAAAAATTATTAAAATTCTATTAAAGATGGATAAAACTATATAGAGGATTGGAAAAAACTGATTTATAGCTAGAAACAGTTCAGAAAAATCCAAAGAACGGAAAATAGAGAAATATAGCATATAATATGAAAAATGCACAAATCATCATAAAAAAATCAAGACTATATATAAACGTATTTATAGAATAAATTCTATAAATTGACTTTAAAAATTTGAATTTATGATTTTTTCTCTTAGATTTCCAATTTTGTACCAAAGAATTCAACCCGGCAAGGTGGCGAGTCCAAGTAACTTGGCCGAGTCTGAGTTGACTTGGTAAGTCTTCGAAAACTGATTCTATTTAGTTAGTGACGACTTGCAGACACTTTATGAATTGAAAGTTCTCACACCATTCGAATATTATCTGGTAAAATGTCGGACAAAATAGAAACTGTCAAAGCTTTGAAATGAGCCCATTGCCAGAATTACAGAAAGGTTTTTGGGGATATGACCAAAATACTGACCAAGATTTTCTCCTTTTTATGCTAAATGATTGAATGCTATATTTTTGGGCTTTGTTTGTTTGAGTCATAGAATTTATGGTTGACAGAGAAGAGCCCATGTTGAAAGATGAATTGCCTGACTTGATACCACAACTTAGACCGTACCAGCGCCGTGCAGCTTATTGGATGATACAGCGGGAGAGAGGAGAAGGACATGAGAATGGAGCGAAAGGGGAACAGGAGATATTCTTTAGTCCTCTATGTGTTCCTGTGGATTCGGTTGACTTAAATTCACGAATGTTCTACAACCCATTTTGGTAAGCTTTATATTTTCATGTCTATCTTGTGGATTGCTTCATTCTAACCATGCTCTTTATCGTTTTTAAAACTTTATGCAGCTAGGAAAGTATGATGCTTATCATACCAAAATAAATAAAATAAGAACAAGAAGAAAGAATGAGGGCTTGTGTTATTTTGATTCATTTTGGTTACAATGGTTGAACAGGAACTGTTTATATCTTTAGAAAATCCTTCTCATGTTTTTGCAAATTATCATGCAAATTTTAGACATTTGCATCAGATTTTTTTGTGGTTTATGTATTCTTTTGCTTTTTTGTCTCCTAGAATTTATGTTTTTATTAAGTTTGCTGCATGTGTTAGCATTGATATTGTACATCAGATATAGTTTCAAAGTTGTGAACATCAAATATAACCTTAGGTCTTGTTTTCCTGCCAGCCTGATTTTTTGTCTCATATGGATTCGATCTCATTTAACAGTGGAAATGTTTCATGGCATTTAGAAGCCTCACCATCCTATGTCTCTGGAGGAATTCTTGCTGGTAAGCTAATGCTTCAGTCATTGTTACTATTTTTTATTCTCTCTTGGAGTATTTATTATTCATAAAATAGGGGAGACTGTAAAATGATTCATATGATCATGATGCCAACTCATAATGGTCACCACTGTCCCATTCCCATGAGGTTGGATGATGATGAAAAGGGTGTGGTATATATAATGGGATCTGATATGCCAACTCTCCCTCCATCGCTGTCCAACCTAGAGATGCCTAATGGCCATGCTGTTATCATGATCACAGGATCGTATTGTACTTTCTTGAAAAGAAACTCTCTTGGCTTCTATGCTCTAGCAGTTGCTTTGGTTTTGGGTCTTATTGTTGTGTTATGAATGCAGATGAAATGGGTCTAGGTAAGACTGTCGAGCTACTTGCTTGCATTTCTGCCCATCGCAGGGAGTTAATGGAACTTGATACTCTTACTAATCATGAGGTTGATGATTGTTCCCAAAGGAATATTAAAAGATTAAAAAGGGAACGTGTAGAATGCATATGTGGTGCTGTGAATGAGAGCCCTAAGTATGAGGGTTTGTGGATTCAGTGTGATATTTGTGATGCTTGGCAACATGCAAATTGTGTTGGCTATAAACCTGGGAAATCTCTAGCCACAAATGGTTTTCTTGGAGGAAGAGGATTGAAACAAGATCTATCTGAAAAATCACAAAAGAACTCTAAAAAGAAAAGTGGCCCTGTTATAAAAGTCACAGAGGGAGATTATGTGTGCCCAACCTGCTCAGAATTGATCCAAGTTGCTGACTGCACAACCATCACGGGTGCGACTCTGATAGTCTGTCCAGCTCCTATATTGTCACAATGGCAAACTGAAATTGCTCGGTATTTTCATACATTTTGCTTATGCTGTCTGTTTTGTTTGATCTATTGTCCCTGCCTTAAGTTTTCCCATGCAACATAGTTTGGCAGCTTTGTTCAGTTGGTTACCTGTCCCTCTGAACACCAAGAAAGTTATTGAGGCTGATGCTGATTAAAGGTTGTTAAGATGTTTGTGTCTGTTATTTGTACCATATGATTAGATTAGGCAAGGAATTCTCCACAAATAAGTCAAATCACATTTCCTTTTCTTTGACGGGGTAATAAAGGAGATTTCTTTCTTTGTCACATAGTTTGATATAATTTGAATAAAATTCAAGAATTAGAAATGTGAAAATGAAAAAATCTTTACTTGCTATTGAGGTAAATATGGAAAGCTCATGCAATTAAGGTATTATGTGTCAATCAATGGTATCATGTGTTTGGTTTATTTTTCTCTATAGTAGGACTTACCTACATAAGACTAGGAGTCTGTGTAACACTACGATGCGTTCTGGTTCAGTTTATTTGTCCTAGTTTGTGTAAACCATTCTTTCAATAAGAAAATAAGAACATTATTGAATTAAGGGAAAAATTCTGATGAATTTGATTGCTTTAGATGATTTGTTTTTTCATTTGCTTGAAAATTCTCCAATGGGATAATGGATGCAGCCAAACGCACGTCAATGGCGGAGGAGATTCATTTTATTTTGTCAAACACGTGATGTAGTGGAATGAGAACATAGTGGGAAATGGGGCACTAAAAAATTTGGTCTCTACAATTAATGATACAAGATCAATGACAGATATTCTTTGATCTGATCATAGTTAGTTCATTGGTTCATCCATTAAATCTTAAAACATGAGGTCAACTTCAAAAAAACATGAGGTCAAGATCGTGCTGCATACTTTTTTTAACATATTTCTGGTACATCTATTTTATCCTTGTTGCAAGCTATAAAAAGATTTAGTTTCTAAGTGTGCTACATCATACCTGGATGGAAAAGGTGACATAGTTTTCTTGATGCCACTATTTCAGTCATATGAAGATTGGGTCTTTGAAAACTTGTGTATATGAAGGTGTAAGAGGCTCATCCTTGTCCAATAATTTGAAATTCGATATGGACAAACTTGCTGGTTCCGACATTGTGCTGACAACATATGATGTGTTGAAAGAAGACCTTTCACATGATTCTGATAGGCATGATGGTGATCGTCGCTTCATGAGATTCCAGAAGAGGTTTTAACGTTTCTAAACATTCCCTTTCCTTTCCATTTATTTGTACCTGTCTTTTTTAGGTATTGCGTTCACATTCTCTGTGCCTTTTCTAGTATTTCCACACTAATTATATGCTATTGCAACTTATTTTTTGTTTTTGTTTTGGTTTACCTCATGCTTAGTGTTGTCAGTTGCTGGTAACCTGTGTGTGAGGTCATCATGCACAAGCCCCTTGAATCTTGAACTCCTGATTTTCTTTTAAGATATTTATCCTTGTGCAAGCTTTTCACATTAAGCTGTTTGATAAGTTGTGCTTGACACAAATTATTGTTGTGCAATATATTAGGTACCAAGTTGTTCCTACTCCTCTGACTAGAATTTTCTGGTGGCGGATTTGTTTGGATGAGGCTCAAATGGTAGAGAGCAATGCAGCTGCTGCAACAGAGATGGCATTGCGTTTAAGTGCTCAGCATCATTGGTGCATAACAGGTACCCCAATACAACGTAGCCTTGATGACATGTATGGCCTCTTGCGGTTCATTAGAGCAAATCCTTTTGATTTCCAGAGGTGGTGGGTGGAAGTTGTCAAGGAGCCATACGAGGTACTCTTTTTATATTTTTTTTAGTTTTCTGCGAAATTACCTGCTACGAATGATCTTATTGCAAATAAATTCACTTTTAGTTGTGCAAATTAGAATACACTCGGAAATGGCTTGTGAAACTACTTCCTTTTCTGTGCATTGTCTGCTGCTGCTCCCAGGTATCAAAAACTTTTTTTCTGAAAGCACTATTTCATGTGCAACTGGCTTACATTCATTAGGCTGGTTGATGTTCTGCACTGTTCATGGGCAACTTTATTTTTTTAAATAATATTTAGGGAGTGTCTGGGGATTATTCAACATGTCAGGATAGCCCAACATAGAATCTAGACCGTGGTCAAATTAAGCGGCATTTGGATTCTGCAATTAATAAGATTAAAAGGATTGAAGCTGCTAATAAATTGGTGATATTCATAATCCATGATGATTCTTTCCGTTTTCTCTTTGTGAATTACCTCTTTTTTTGAAGATTACTCCTCATAAAGGATCCGTTTTCAGGATTACTCCTCTCAATGATAGTTCACACAAACTGCTTGTGCTCCTCCTGCAATGCCACTAACAAAATTGACAACAAATAGTGACAATTTTTCCCTTTCAATAGTCAAGTGCAAACCTGTAAACACTCTTGCTAATTGGCGGTGTTATAAAAAATGAACCAATCCTCAATCCAGAGAGAGAACAAGGTCAGTTTTCTGAGGTTGGACTAAAGGTCGGACTGGTCAAACTGGCTGTCGCAAAATAAAAAAGAGAATATCTAAAAAGAAAAGGGAAAAAAAATGAAAAGAACTTAAATACCATAATTGGAATCCACATCCAGATGCTCTTCGTGAATAATTCATGTAAGATGCTTGCACTTATGCATTATCCTACCTTTGCATGTTCACATGCACATGGATTGACCTATGTAGAAGGGAATTCTTTAAAGAGAGGTTGCCCTTGCCCTCTACGCGCTCAATGTACTGGATTCATTTCTAGACATTTGATTCTATTCGGCATTTGGAGAAGTTCATTGAGGTTGTAAGAAACCCTGTTGTGTCATGCTTGCATATTTATGGGCATTACACTTTTTTGGCTTCATTCTTTGGCATCATATCCTTTAATTCTTTTATCCACATTTTGCAGAAAGGAGACATCCGGGCTATGGATTTCACTCATAGTTTATTTAAGAAGATTATGTGGCGTTCATCCAAAGCTCAAGTTTCAGATGAACTTCAGCTACCTCCTCAGGAAGAACTTGTTTCATGGCTAACTTTCTCACCGATTGAGGCCCACTTTTACCAAAGACAACACGAAACTTGCGTAATATATGCACAGGAAGTCATCGAAAGTTTTAGAAATGATATACATAAAAGGGAAGGCTTTCCTGGTAATTTACTAATTGAGCTGGCCATATATTTTAGTGGTTCAAGGAGTTTTATTTTTGAAAGATCAGTTAGATTGATTTGTTTTTTCTGGGTTTGTTCAGGTCTTGAAGGTTCATGTGATCAGTCTCTTTCTCATGAGGAGGCTGCAAAGCTTCTTGTCTCTTTATTGAAGCTTCGGCAAGCCTGCTGCCATCCTCAAGTCGGGAGTTCTGGCCTGCGCTCCTTGCAACAGACTCCTATGACTATGGAGGAGATATTGGAGGTATTATCCATAGGCAAAGTATACATGATCATCAGTGAAGGAGAATGAGTGGGACCACCATTAGGGTCATGTCCTGTTATGGTTGGTCCTACTCTCTCCAGAACCATACAGTGGTGAACCCAATGAACTATGATCACACCATTGTCTATGTAAATATGGTATATGCAATGGACACTTTATGTGTATTTGTGCTTCATTCTTGACATTTCTCATTGAATGAAGTGAATGTGTAGGTTCTCATAGGAAAAGCCAAGATTGAAGGAGAGGAAGCTCTAAGAAGATTGGTGGTTGCATTAAATGGCCTGGCAGGTATAGCTGCAATTGAGAATGATCCCCAACGTGCAATAGTATTGTACAAGGAAGCATTGGCACTATCCGAAGAGCATTCAGAACATTTTCGTTTGGATCCTTTATTGGGGCTTCACATACTCCACAATTTGTCTGACCTGCTCCAGGTCTCCTCCCAATGTTCAGAACAGGGTGAATCAATGGAAAATCAATCTTCTGTAAGCCTAGAAGGAAAGACGACTGATCTACCTGAGAGTTGCGAGTTTGATAATCCTCCTGTGAAAAGACAGAAAACAATTGAGAGCTGCAGTTCCACTTCACAAGATTTATCAGTTCGGATCGATGATGACAACATTACAAATGTTTATGCTCAATTTCATCTGCCGTCTAAGTTCTTGAGTGATGGTCAATTGAGAGTAGAGTGTGAGAATATTAAACAGAAGTTTTTATCTGCATTTCTTTCAAAGCTATCCTTAGCCCAACAAGAGTTTAAGAATTTAAATATGCAGGTACATACAATTTGACTTTATTTGAAGTTAGATAAGCTTTATCTCCCACCCGCAAAGGCATTTCTTTTGGAGTCTGTTGCACATGTTTCTTATGCAAGTTCATTCATCACTATATACTTGCTTGACAATTGCATGTTCCTGAGATGCAAATTTATTTTAGTAAACGTTTGTATGTGCACTCTCATGTTTTTTTTTTGTCTCTTTTGGAGAAAAGTTTATATTGTCTTATTTCTTTCAACAAGCACTATCTTTCGTTTGTTTCCAAGAACGTTGACATAGAGGAACCATGGTACTAAATATACTCTCTTTGAATGCAAAGGAGATTTCTGTCATGTTTTTATTGAATGTTTCATGGCCAAGAAAGATATTATGAGGATCTTTTGCTAGATATCTGGATCTTTCTCTAATCTAGATTTTATAAACATCCGTCTTAGCTGCAGTTAAGATTGTAGTTCAAACTACCAGGAACCATTTACTTCTTTCTAAATACATGAAGTTGGGGGTAACCCATTCGAAAGTATTATATTGCATGTTTCACATGTGTGGCTACTGGCTACACATTTATTGAGGACAACAACTTTTGGGAGTAGGATGGAGTGTCTGTCTTGTTATTGTGTCCCATCCCCTCATTGTAATACAGCTTCATGTAGTTCTTATCAATAATGTCATATTGTTGTTTCTGTGGTTTTGCCTTGGAGAGGGGTAGCAGACATTCAGCTTTCATAATATATCAGTCTTGTACAAAATCAAAATATATCTGCTTTGTTTTGTTTTTGTACTATATTGAGTACCAGATGCTGCTACCCATCTACCCATTATATGACATTTGAATGATAATTCTTCTGATTTCTTAGCCTTTTGTGTTCATTTTGCAGCTGTATCTCATCTTGACAATTTTAAATGTTATTCTTTCAACTCATGCCTTTTATTTAGTATGAAAATCCAAATTTATGGCATTTTTCTTTGTGTTTAAAGGTCCATGAGGCCGATAGTGCATGCAAAGGTCACCGTGTCAGTTGGTGGATGCATGCCCTTGATCTGGTTGAACAGAATGAGTGGACAAGTGACTTGGTTGAAAAAATCAGTGAGGGGTTACCAGGGGCTCGGAACAATTCCAAATCTTCAAGAATTATTTCAAGGTACTTCCTAAATTCCTCATTTATTTATTTATTTATTTATTTGCTATTTTCTGGTGCACGTGGAGTTACACACTTTCTACTCACCTTCATTACATGAAACCATTGTCACTCTGCTAAAGGTTTATAGGGCCCATATTCAAATTCATGCCTTTGCATTTTGCACTTAATATCAGTGTTTTAAAACCAGAGACTTGCTCTATGATCCAACCTATACCCGGGGGGCAATCCAAATTAGCGAGTCTTAAGTTCACTCTCCAAGCCTTGTCAGTGTCCAAGAACATAAAAAGGGAAAATCCCAAAAAAGGAAAATAAAAGTGGGAAAAATATCAAAAGTAAGAAAATTATATCCAAAATGAAAAATGATGGTATTTTCATATGTAAATGGGGATTCCTCAATATGTACGGCCAATGAGGTGAGTTGACTCGGACTTGCCCCAGTCATGACCAAGCCATGGAAAAGGCAAAAAAAAAAAAAAACTGAAGAAGAAGATGAAAGGGGGAAAGATCTCAAAAAATCACAAAAAATCACAAAAAATCCTTAAATCCCTTGGCCACCTGACATACGCTGCACCTATAAACAAATTGATATGTCCCTCCTCATGCATGGCCAAAAATATTGCTCTTCCACCAATGCATTGGTTTTATCTCTGCCAAAATGACCACCAAGGCCTCCTCCATTGATGAAGAAAATAATAAAAAAAAATTGTTAACATTTTGTGGACTTCATTTTCTTTTTATTTTTTTTGGTAAGGAAGGGTATTTTGGGATTTTTCTCTGCAATAGACTTCTGTAGAATTTATAGCAAAGCCAGAGGGTTCCATGTAATTTTGAGTGTTGGAAAAATTAGGAGGAAAATGTTAGTATTTGAATTTAAAATTTGCTTCGGAAAAGGTATTGTGCCTGGGGATAGTGTCCATTAATACTCCTAGAAACTTTAATTGTGCATGGCTTGGGAATGGGTGGAGTCCATAATACTCCTAGGAAAATTAAGAGCTCTTTGGTTTAGGAGCCATGCCTAGTCTATAAAAAGAGGAAGACTTTTACCATGCTGGAATCAATGTTTTGCTGTAAAAACAGAAATCAGGGACTTATTTTCCATTTCAAGGTGTTTTTGGACCCTCATACAAGTCCTTGAAGCTAGGCTTTGTTAGTTGTCTTTGAATCACAGTTGAAATCCCTTAATTTCTACCCGATTGCGAGTTATCTCTCTCTTTTCTCTCTGTTCTACATCAAGTGGTATCGGGGCAGGAATCCTTTCTTTTGGATATGGGAGTTATGGCCAATAAAGGAGGACGTGGAGGCCGAGGAGGAGGTGTTGTCCCAAGGGCAGAATATGAGAAATTGTTGAGGAGATTCAATGCAATGTTACAATTGGTGGGTCATCTTCCCCACTTTGAACGAGAATCGGTTACTCATGAAAGTGAGGAATCGAGTAAAGAAAGTAAAATCCTTTCCACAACCAAAGGGAGAACCCCTCATTGGAGGATTGGTTGGTCTGCACCCTAGCTGGGTTGGATCAAGGTGTGAGAGTGGATGTCTCTAAATTTTGGGGAAAATTGCAGGCTGGTGAATTCTTGGACTGGCTAGACATAGTGGAGGCTTTCTTCGAGGGAAAAGATTTCCCAGAAGAAAGAACAGTCAAATTTGTGGCTACCCTACTCAAAGGGACACACCAAAGTATAGTGGTAGCAGGTGCATGCCAGTCGAGTGTGAAAGGGGAAAGAAAAGATGCCAACTTGGAGGAAAATGAAGTCGCATCTTAAGGAGAAATAAATTCTTACCCACTGGTTATGCGGAAGAATTATACCAACTATTCCATCATTTACGCTAAAGGAGGGCGTTTAGGAGTATATAAATGAATTCTTCATCTTTATGAGCCGGAACAAGGTCAACGAAAGCGATGACCAGATCTTTACAAGGTATATGAGTCGATTGAAATCTCAAATTTAAAACAAACTAATTCTATACCAGATTGTCAGTCTTGATGAGGCTTATCAAATGGCCTTAAAGGCTGAAAGCAGGTTGAAAAATAGTCGTTCTAGCTGGAAATCAACCACAGTCCAAAGGGGACAAGTGGCAAATCAAATGGCGCAAGAAGATGGTTCTAGCTCACACCCGAATAAAGCATCTAAGGACAAAGCTCCAGCTGCCAACAGGCCCCTCCAAACCCAAAAACCGTGTGTGAAGTGTTATACATTTGGCGAGATTGACCACCATTCGTATGAGTGCCAGAACCGGCAAGCTGGAACACATCTCTTGGATGGGGATGATGTAAACGAAGGAGACCTTGTCACAGGGCCAATATTCGATGACGAGCTGGTAGGGGAAAATGAGCAAGATGTTGCTGAACTAGAGGTTGATAAGGAGGATTTTCTTGTCATTAGACAACTATTTACAACCCTAAAGGCGTTAGAAGAGCCGTGGCTCCGAACCAACATCTTCAAGGCTCGTTACATAGTCCTTGGGAAGGTGTGTACCGTTATCATTGATAGTGGCAGCTGTGGTAATATGGTGTCTCAAGAGATTGTAAACAAGTTGAATTTGACATGCGGGAAACACCCCCAACCCTACAAAATAGCATGGTATTGGAAAGGTAATAAGACTCGTAACTTCTCGTTACTTCATTAGTTTTTCCATTAGTAGAACTTTAAAGGATATAGTTTGGTGTGACGTCCTTCCTATGGACGCATGCCATATCCTTTTGGGTCGTCCTTGGCAATATGATCAAGCTGCTGTATGCCATGGGTGGCACAATACATATTCTTTTTGGAAAGATGAGGTGAAAATTGTTTTAAATCAAGTGCTCCACAATACCTTAGTGCATACTCTCTATACTTTTGTCTATATCATTCCTTCACTCTATGCTTTTTGTCTCAATCCACCTTCTCTCTCTTTCTCTCTCTCTCCCTCTCTCTCGCTCTCTATGTCCCTATCACTCCGTTTTTCTATCTTTCTTTTTATTATTTCTCCTTACTGTTAGCTTCTTCTTTTCTTATTTTAAAGTCTTATGCTTTTTTTATGATTCTCCACTTTCGCAATTCCTTGGAGACATCACTATCTATTGTGTGCGCCATTCTTTCCCCAATCCCATATGTGTGCGTATGTATTTATGCATGACATATTTCTCATTTCAATGTAGCAGTGGAGGTATATTGTCTTCGTTGGATCTAAGTTTTCTCTCATTTGTTGGGTCATTATGACTTCGTACTAGTGTTCAAAACAGTATTTTAAAAAACGGTGATCCGGATTAAAACCCAGCGATTCGGATCGGGAATCGTCTGGGACAAACCGGTTCCCACAAAATATCGGGAACCGTTCTACCTGCAAAATGGATGGATCTGGCCAATTCCCTAAGAGCATCGACTGGTTTTGTTAGGAGCCAGTTGACCAAAAGCATGTCACACCACCGGTTTCCTTAGTTGTATTTTTTTATCTGTTTGGCCTTATTTTTTTTGCAATTTTTTTAATCAAATACTAGTGAGGTGGCCCCCTTTCCATGCACATGTGCGCTTAAACCGCCCAAGCCTTAATGCCCCAATGCATCATCCACGTATCCCCTTCTAGAACCGCTACCCCCCTCGCATGTCTTTTTACTTTTCGATGTGGGACAAAGGGAGAGCGATTTATACATGGCTTGGGAGAGTGCGATCAGTAGTTTTCTGTGCATGGCTTTTGGAAACTACAGGAAGCTAGTTTTTCATGTTCTAAATAAGCCAATTGCTAATATTAAATTAAAATTTATGTTTATTTATACCATATAACTAATTTTATTTAAAGCTGTGTTACACCATAGTATATTTGCATAGCTATTTTACATAGTTTATTTGCATAGCTAATATTTAAAACTATTTTATTTACATAGTTTAGCTATGTTTTATTTACGGCATAGTTTAAACATAGTTAAAATTAACTATGGTGTGAAATTAGCTAAATAAAATTAGTTATTTTACATTAAAATCTAATTTTAAAATTTGCACCATAGTTTAAAATTATAGCTAATTTGAAATTATTTTACACCATTATTTTAAAAATTTACACCATATAGCTTTAATTTTACACCCTATGGATAATTTTAAAAGTATGTCAATAAAGCTTATATGGTGTGAAGTAAACTTTGCCAGCAAAGGAAATTAAGAAAATGCATTCTCTCTCTCTTTTTTATTTTATTTTATTTTTAACATTGCAAAGGTAATTAAGATAACGCAATGGAAACAAGGTTACACAGTGCTAAGCTATAAACTCTCTCTCTCTCTC